TACGGTCTTAATCTTATTAATCTTATATTGGTGGTACAAATTACTCTCTTAATCTTATTAATGTTATATTGAGCATTAACTGTATACGTTCAATAATGATCTGTTCACCCACATTTTTTTAGAAAAAATATCTGTTTTTTTAAATCAAAAAGAATTTTATCCAGTGCTGGAGTTGGCCAACCAAATTGAGGGGGAACCACTACAGAAGCTGCTAGAACAGTGGTGGCGAACCTATGACATGGGTGCCAGAGGCGGCACTCAGAGCTCTCTCTGTGGGCATGCGCGCCATCACCCCTATCCTAGGCCTTCAGCTGGGTATTATAAAACCTTTTTGCTTTAGGCCTCTGCCACCATGTGCAAAAAAAAAAAAAAAAGGTTCAATCAGTTAATTACAACTTCTTGCGAGGAAAGAAAAAGATCTCGCAAAGTTGGAATTGATTGATTGAACTTTTTAGTCCCACCCACTCTGCCATTACCACTGTAGCCACGCCTACCCAATGGGCCACACCCAGCCAACGGGCCACACCCACCCAGTAACCAATGATGCATAAGTGGGTTTTGGGTTGTAGTTTGGGCACTCGGTCTCTAAAAGGTTCGCCATCACTGTGGTAGAAGCTAGTGGCCTGCATTGCAATTTATCCACTGTAATATTTGCAACTCACAAACTGAGGAACAAATAGTTGGTGAGCTTGTGAACAAAGCTGTCTGGATGTCCCTTGGCTGAGAACAGAAGGTTCAAAGGCTCTCTCAAGGCAGATAAAACAAGCTCGAATTGAAGAGAATCTTCTGTAGCTCAGGGTTGAACTTTGATCTCTCTGAGCTTGGTGTGTTGCTTGCAGACGTCTCATTACCCCACGAGGTAACATAATCAGTGCTGCAAGCAAAGAGCCAAGGTCAGAGAACACCAAGGACTCCACAGAATAAGCTCAGTTCTGCATACAGGCCCTCCTGCCATTTGTGCTGGTAAAACCTGACTTGGAGATCCCTGATTTCCCGTGAAGGAATTATTCCTGGTTTTAAAGGCATCTGATTTGTACAACACACCCGTTTTGTCTCAGCTGTGCTCCCACTTTACAAAAGTTGCAGAAGTATTTGGACTTTTCTCCTCTGGTGGCTGCAATTCTACTATTGATTCAAGAAAGAATTATCGTCTTAATGTCTTAATTATCGTCTTCATGGAAAGAAACGTATCAGATACGTTTCCATGGAAACGGTGACGAAGCTTAAGGAGAACTTAATGCGCCAATTAGCACATATCCCTTCTATGTTTCTACAGCTAATCTTTAACTTCTTTGAACCTACCATAGAATCTTTCCTTTTTTCCTCTTTGCCTCCCGGACTACCCGCACAGTTGTAACGCTACAAGAATCAAACCAACCGAAAGAGGGACGCTCTCTCTTTCCTACATTCCTTTGCAAGTCCACGGAAACGTGTTGAGAAGGAAAAGCTGACAGATCAGCTCCACAGAAACAAAGGGGCACCATTCTTACGGTAGATCGTAGAAAAATCCAGGGAAAGGAGGGTTTGTGGTTCTCTGGGAAACAGTAAAAGTTTCCCCTGTCCAGTCATGTTCAACTCTTAAGGCAGTGGTTCTCAACCTTTTTAATGCCGTGACCCCCAACCGGTCGTAAGTCGAGGACTACTCAACCGGTCGTAAGTCGAGGACTACTCAACTGGTGCAGCACCGTTTGCAGAATGGGACTTTTGGCAGGCTCAGCAGGGCAGAGACAGCCTGGACAATTCATATTGGCTTTTGAAAGCCAATAGAATTAGACTCTATTCAAGAGAGTCTATTCTATTGGCTTTCAAAAGCCAATAGAATAAAAGGGAGTAGCACAGCTAAGGAAAAGGGGAAAAAATGGCGGACTGCATTGTTTGGCGACCCCCGTGAAATGGTCGTTCAACCCCAAATGGGGCCCCGACCCACAGGTTGAGAACCACTGTCTTAAGGGGTGATGCTTATTTCCGTCTCTTAGCCCAGGGAGCCAGTGATGTCCAGAGGGATTTCTGTGGTCATGTAGCCAGCATGACGATAAGCCCACCGAAATTTTTCTACTTGCATTTTGCCTTGCCTTCAGAAATTGTGGGTGCCCCATTGCTGGAGGCTTTTTTTTTTTTTTTTTTATTAAAAGTTTTATAAATTTTACAAAAAAAACAAGAACAATACAGAACAAAAAACAACATATACAAAAGAAAAAAAAAATTAAACAATACATATAAAAAAAAAAACCCCACCCCACACCCCTCCCAAAAACCCTCCCTTCCCCCCCCCGAGCTTCCCAGAGCAGAATATAGGCTTAAGAAATAATAAAAAAAAAATAAAAATTAAATTAAAAACTCTATATTTATATATATAAAAAAGATATCTATAATATATATAAAAATAAAACTTATAAAAAGGCTATATAATATTTTTGTATACCCAATCTAAATTGTATAAATTTTATCCATTTGTCCCAGATAGCAAAAAACTTCTCTTGAGTTTGTTGCTTTAAGAAAGCCGAAATCTTTGCCATTTCTGCCAGATAAGCTACTTTAAAAAACCATTCCTGCAATGTAGGCAAAGATTCCTTCTTCCAATATTGTCCAATTAACAGCCTCGCGGCTGTGATCAAGTTTAACATCAATAAAACCTCCTTTGTATCACAATCTGTAACAATACCTAACAAAAATAATTGCGGAGTAAATTTTACCCTCCTTCTAAAAATTCTCTGGATATTCCACCATATTTTGATCCAAAATACTTTTATCTCTCTACATGACCACCAAATATGATAATAGGAAGCCTCCTTATAACCACATCTCCAACATTTAGGTTGCACGTCAGGGTACATGTAAGACATGTTTTGTGGATCAAGGTGCCATCTATAAAACATTTTATAAAAATTCTCCCTTAGATTCTGTGCTTGAGTAAATTTGACATTTCTCACCCAAATAGTTTCCCAGGTGTCCAATGAAACTGGCTCACCAAAGTTCTGCGCCCATCTAATCATACAATCCTTAATTAGTTCCGTTTCTGAGTCCAATTCAACTAAAACCCCATAAATTCTCTTAATGTGGGTTTGTCTTTGATCCTTCAGTTGCTTAATAAGATTTTCATCTTCTCTAAGAAAACCCACCTTGCAATCCATCTTCCATCTATCTAGTAGTTGCCTATATTGGAACAAAGAATAAGTAAAATTTTCTTGTGCTAATTCTTCCCGTGATTTTAATTGCCAGTTTTGTCCATCCCATTTAAGTAACTGTCTATAAGACACAATATCCATTTTAACCCCTCTTTTTATTCCTTCTATCGCATGCCAAGGTATAGCCCATAATGGTACTTTAAAATCACTTTTATAATATTTTCTCCAAATCCTAAGTAAAGAAATTCTTAAAATATGAGATTTAAAAGCCCAATCTATTTTTTTATTAAATATTAAATCGGCATGCCACCCATAAAGTAAATCCCATCCCTCTAGATAAAGTATCTCAGAATTTGTCAAATTTACCCAGTCACTAATTAATGTTAAAACCACCGCATCATAATATAATTTCAAATGTGGTACCTTGAGTCCACCCCTCTCACGGAAGTCTTGCATAATTTTGAACTTAACCCTTGGTTTTTTCCCTGCCCAAATAAATTTATTGAGACCCTTCTGCCACTCATTTAAATTAATCTCATTTTTCAAAATTGGTAACATTTGAAACAAAAAAAAAAACTTGGGTAGAATATTCATTTTTATCACTGCAATTCTTCCCATGAGGGATAATTGCAGCTTTTCCCAATTCTTCAAGTCTTTCTGTACCCCGACCCACAACCTTTCAGAATTATTTTTAAATAGTTTTGCATTAGAAACAGACAGCATCACCCCCAAATATTTTACCTTATTAACAATCTCAAAACCCGTCGAGTTAACCAAAATCTGCTTCTCCTGACTAGACATATTTTTAGGTAAAATTTTAGTCTTATTTACATTAATCTTAAAACCCGAGACCAAACCATAATGGTGAATCAACTGTAATAAGTTTACTACAGAATAATCAGGTTGCGACAAAGTAACAACCAAGTCATCCGCAAAAGCTCTCAACTTATATTCTTTTTTATTAACCTATATTCCTTTAATTTCCTGAGACTCTCGAATTTTGATCAATAATATTTCCAATGTTAAAACAAACAACAATGGCGATAAAGGACACCCCTGTCTAGTACCTTTCTCTATTGTGAAAACCTCCGACAAACCTCCATTAACAATAAGTTGTGCTGTTTGTTTTTGATATATTACCTTAAGGGCTGGAGGCTTTAAGAAGAGACTGGACAGGCACCTGTCTGAAATTGTATAGGCTCTCCTGCTCGAGCAGGGGGTTGACTAGAAGACCTCCAAAGTCCCTTCCAACTCTGTTATTCTATGTTGTATGTTCTGCTCTGGCTACTGTATTAAAAGGGAAAACAGGTATGAGGGGAGGCCATTTTGATATCTGATATTTTCAATGATATTTTGGTTCCCACACGTCCCCACCCAGGCTACACGAAATGCTATAATGCAAGGTTCACATGGTCTATGTATGGAAGATAGAACTTGACTTCACCTTTTCTGTGGTGGCTTCCAAGGGCGCACATTGAAATCTTCGTACCACAATACAAAATTGAATGAGCAGTACAAATGCATGTTGTAGTTAGTCCTAGAGAGAGAGAATGGATGAGCCAGCCTTCATCCCTCTGACAACGAAAAAAAAGTAGGTGTTTATGTAGACCAATCTGCCTGGCTGGGAATTCTACCTGTTGAAGTCTCACACCTGCAATATTGCCAAGTTTAATAAAACACTGTTTGTTTCACAGTGTCCGTCACTGTACTTGCAAAGAACGAAACTGGTGCCAGTCCAAAGATACTTTCTTTTTCCTGTAAATCAGCTGCTTTTAATGCTGGACTCCATAGGAAATTCAGGTTTTGATAGGCAGGATTCCAGTCATGCAAAATGGGAGGAACGTTTTTATCATTTGAAGAAATATGGAACTTAAGAAAAAAACAACAGGACATTAGGGGGTTTATCAGAGAGATGCAGTCCTTCTGATCGGAGGAGTCTGGCTCTTTTTGAAGGCGATCAACACCAGACTGCCGAGAGACCTTTGAGAATTATTCCTTTTATAAAAGCAAGTAAGTATTTGTCTACACTTTCCCCCTCTATAGGTTTAGCTATTGTGGATTCTGTACTCCTTGCTTTCAAATTCTCTGTTCTCTTTTCAGTTTCTGCTGATCTTCCTATAAAGCAGCCTTCAATAGAGTTTCCTTTCTCCTAAAGATTGTGTGCATTAGGAATCTGTGAATGGCTGAAAACCCTTCAGCGTTAAGGAAATCCATGCACCCTTCTTCCCTCATTTCTGGACCCCAAATTTTTGTGGGTGGCTTTGGGGAATCAGCCAAAGAAGCAACAACAAATTTCCCTTCCCTGCATTGGGTGGTGCCTTCTTTGGGTCTACACTGGATTGTTGGGCTAGACTTTTGATATACTTAATAACTGGCTTTGCTTAGGTTTGTCCTCCGCTGTTGTAACATGAACCATGCCTTGCAAGTCTGAAAGTACTTCAGAGAGGAGAGAGCATTAGAAATAAACGTATACTGGTTCCTCCTTAACTGTATTGGGTTCAAAAGGGAGGGAGGGAGGGATTGAAATGACCATCAGGATTCCAAGATTTGGTAACTAGAGGTTTGTAAACAGAGAGATATGAAATTCTTCACCTTTGTTTTCTTTCCCATGACTGAAACGTCTTCAAGGAAGAGAATAGAGTATGTATGAAAAGAAAGAACAAAAGGCCAGAGATGTAGAGTGATCTTAAGAGGAGGGGTTGGCTTTGTCTGCCTGAGGAGGAGAACATCTGGAAAGCTTCTTGCTCCCCTGGCTGGCTTTCACTCCACCTCACCTCTTTGGACATTGATCCAGGCAGAATTGTGGTTGCAATTATGAAAGGCACCAGTTCATTTTTGAGGGTGGCTTTGGGGAATCAGCCAGAGAAGCATCATTCTTTTCTCCCCTGTGTTTGTTGATATCTTCTTTGGGTTTACACTGGATTTGGGGCTGGACTTTAATTTAGTTAATAAATAGATTGGGTTGTGTTTGTGGCCAGGCAGATATTTTCTCAATAAGAAAGGAAAGCAATGGAATAAGTATATACCGGTGTATAAAAAGAAGAGCTGAGGGGGGTTGTGGGGTGTCAAGGGTGTGTGTGTGTTGGTTTTCTCTGGTTGGGGAGGAGAACTTCTGGAAAGCTTCTCCCTTCCCTGACTGTTTTTTCATCCCCCCTTCTTTGGACATTCATCCAGGCATATTGGTGTAATTATCAAAGGCACCAATACTAATAGTATCCAATTACAACTTGACCTTGACACACAATAGAAAGAACAGATAGACAAAAGACAACTTAGCCAGCAGTAATAATGTAAACGGAACAAGAGGCACAAAAGAGACCCTCTCTAGTTTTTTGGTAAAACTGAGAAGTGGAGTACTTTCATCTTTGCAAGATTGATTTCAGCTTTAGCAATAGCATTTAGGCTTACATTTTGTTCATAGTGCTTTATAGCAGTCTCTTGGAGGTTTACAATGTAGAAGCATTATTTGCATATTGACCCCAACAATTTGGGTCCCCATTTTACCAACCTTGGAAGGATGGAAAGCTGAGTCAACCTTGAGCCAGTCAGGATCGAACTGCTGGCGGTGGGAATGCAGAGTTAGCGGCAATGCTGCATTCTAATCACCAGGGCTTTGGAAGGATTTAAGACCTTTAGGATTCAGACCAGATAGGAAACATGATCAGATGGCTTATGCTACTTTATTGTAAGGTTACATTAACAGAATCTTGCATGTCTGAAAGTACTTCAGATCCCTTCAGAGAGGAATGGAACGTTAAAAAGAAACTTAAACTGATTCCTCCTTGAACCCTGATTAAGGGGGAGGGAGGCAGGGATTGAAATCACCATCAGGCTTCCAAGATTGGGTAACTAAACATTTGTAGACATGAAGGAAAGCAGAGAGATATGACATTCTTCACTTTTATTTTCTTTCCAAAGTCACTCTCCCTCTCCAGTAATCTGATTTTATGCCATTAAATAATTTTCATGCCCTAGTGACCACATACGTAAATTTTTTCCAAGACCTTCTATCCCTAATCTGTTCTTTCCCGAGGCATAATGTTGCACTCAGTTCCACCGTAATTGAGTCCAACTTTTGCTGCTAGTCGTCCTTTTCTTATCTTCCCTTCCACTTTTCTGAGCATCAGAGCCATCAGCAGAGAACTGGGTCTTCACATCACGTGTCCAAAGTAGGATAATGTGAACCTGGACCTTTGTATCTGGTTGAGAACACTGGGTTGATTTGTTGGCTGATCCACTGGTTTGTTTCCTTGGCTGTCCACGGTATTCTTTGGGGTCTTCTCCAACCTCAAATTCAATGTGCCAGACGTAGCTAAGAAACATCCCAATGTCTCTTTTCCTTTCCAGATAATCTGCACAGAACAAAGAGCAACTATGGGCAATCTACTTCTAAAGGATTTCGTAAGGAGAGAATTTGAAGACTTAAAGGATGATTTAAATCAAGGCAGTATCCCAAAAGTGGCAGCAGAATACAGAGAATGTTTAAATGAAATGCAAAATCTGCCCCTTAATATTGCAGTTACTGGAGATGGGGGTGTTGGTAAATCCTCCTTTGTCAATGCCTTCCGGGGTGTAAATGATGATGATAAGGAGGCAGCCGAGGTTGGGCCAGGAAAAGAAACATTAGTGCTAAAGGCATATCCTCACCCTTCTTTCCCTAATATAAAAATATGGGACCTTCCAGGGATTGGGACATATAAGGTTAAGGCAGCAAAATATCTGAAGAACGTCCAATTTGAAAAATACGATGTCTTTATTGTGGTTATTTCTGATCGCTTTTCTGAAAACCAAGCTATGCTGGCGAAGGAAATACAAAGAATGAAGAAGAAATTTTACTATGTGTGTAGCAAAATGGATATCACCATCAACAATGAAATGAGAAGAAAGAATTTCAATATGGAGGACACCTTGACGTCCATGAGGAAATATTGTGAAGAGAGCTTGAAAGAGGCAGCTGCAGTTTCCACAAGAGTGTTTCTGATATCCAGTCGGGAGGTGCACATGTATGATTTCCCTCTCCTGCAAGAGACAATGGCCACTGAACTTCCTGACCACAAGAAAGATATTTTAACACTATCTATGCATATTTTCTCCGAAAGTGAATTGATGAAGAAAAAAGAGCTAATGAAAGACTATATAAAGAAGATAGCATTGGTATCTTGTGCTTGTGGAGCCATGCCTCTCCCGGGTCTCTCTATAGCTTGTGAAGTTGGAATTTTGATAGATACCCTGAGATGTTTCTGCCGGGTGTTTGGCTTAGATGACCGGTCCCTCCGTTTTCTGGCACTTCAGACAGGAAAAGAATTTGAAGAATTGAGGTCAGCTATCAAGAAAACGCCGTTACTCAACACAATAAATGCAGAATTGGTTGCTTCTCTCTTGATGAAGTCATCTCTTTGGGTAGTTGTGTCACTTGTGGAACTGGCTTTTGATTTTGTACCTGTTCTTGGTTCTTTGGTTGGTGGAGCGAGTTCATACGTTGTCACGTATCATTTTCTGAACAGCTTTCTTGACGATGCTGTGGAAGATGCCCAAAATGTTCGAGCAAAGCTTCTTAAGCAACCAGAATCCCAGGGAAAATTTGAAAAAATCTCTCAAAAGCCCCTTTGAAGGAAATAGTCAAGCATTTCATCCAAATGAAACAGGAGGAAGAAAATAATAATGTTTCAGTGCCTTATTATTTTCTTGTTTTTAAGAATTCTCTGATTGAAATATGTGCTTGACCACCCGGAGGGCAAAGGAGTACCCCTGTCACAGATATTTCCTCAGGAACTCAGAAATTAAATATTTATCTATATTGTTTGGGGGTAGTTGCTTTTCTTTTTTTTGTTTTTTCTCTTTTTCTTTCTTTTCTGTTCTATTTGTAACCATTCTAAATAACAAAAGCAATAGAGAATTTGATATGATGATGCATATTACATAACAATTTTTGAAAAATATGAAAAAAACCCACAATATACTCCGCTTGAGATATCTCATTAATGTATTAATAAAAAGAATTTTAAATAAAACTTTGAACGTAGGTTTTGGTTAATGAAATTGAAGGGGGGAACCTCAGAGAAACTGTTAGAAGCCACTGGACTAACTTGCAATTTATCCACCGTAACGTGTGTCAGCTCATTTACAAACTGAAGAACAAATACTTTGTGAAGTTGAGACAAAGAGGTTTGAATGTCCCTTGGCTGAGAACAGGAGAAGCAAGAACTCTCTCAAGGCAGGGAGGAAATAAGCTTGAATCACAAAGATTCTTCTGAAGGCACTGACCAGACAGCCATTTCTCAGGGATGCTGTAATGGGAGACACAGGTTGGACAGGGGAGAGGAGGAATATATTATTAAATCAGAAAGGAGATTAAATTGTCCTGGGTGCAAGAGAGAAGGAGGGAAGGTTCCATGCTCCAGTAACTAGACCAAGGAGATCCAAAGATGCTTTTTTCCCCCCACAAGGCAACTGGACTTTCTTGTTTTTCTTTGAAGAATGTTCTAGACCCTGAATCAAGATGCTTTTGTAATCCAAGGCCAGACAGATAACTCAAACAAAGATGATTGTAAAACAGATATTTATTCAGGAATAATGCTGAACTCACATAGTTCATCTGAATGTTCCATATCTGTTCATCTTTATAGGTAAAAATCAATAATTCCTCCACATTCTAGCATGGGTTAAGACCGTGTGTGTTCTCCGGTGATCTCATGCTTATCTCAGACAAAGACATTCAAAACTGGCACGTAGCCAGGATATCCTGTGATGAACTTAGTAGCCCCTCCTACTGACCTGTTAACATAGGCTTCACTGAGCAGCTAAACTATATTACCCATAAGCCATCTCTTAAGGAGACAGCACTTAACCTGATAAATGCCAAACATTCTAACATACAGGCCCACCTAACTGGCTGATCCAGAACAAAGAAGCTTCTTGGATGAGAAGCAAAACATCTTCAAAGAAAAACAAGAAAGTCCAGTTGCCTCATTGCCTCTTCTGAAGGGGTTATATTTCTCAGGGATGCTGTAATGGGAGCCACAGGCTGGACAGGGGAGGGAAGGGTTTACTGAAGCAGGAGAGAATGATTTCACTTTAATTGTCCTGGGTGCAAGAGGGAGGGAGGGAGGGGAGGGAAGGAAGGTCTCACCAGGCTTCCAAGGTTCAGTAACTAAACCAGGTAGAGTTCCCATCATTCTTGTGAAACCTGTTTTCTGGCCTGACCAACTGAACATGCCCAGCCCAAAATTGGCCAGGTTCAATGAAAGGTGGGGCAGACAGGTGAGTCTGCCTCCCCCCTGCTTTCTCTCACCTGAATTATTTTTCAATAAAAGTGGAAAGGAATCCTCCAACCAAGCAGAAGGTACATCTGGGGATTCAGAAGTGAGGTGGCTCCAGGTTGGGCTATTAGGAGTCTCCCCGGCTCTTCTGAGATGTGTCCAGCCCAAAACTGTCTCCTGGGTGTGAAAAGATTGTGCAGTTGGGTGGATTCAGGCAGGACTGGAAGAATCCCTCCAGGTGAACTGGAAAGTGGCTGATCAACAGACCTAGTTATGTGCCAAGGGTTTGTCAAGATGGGAGTTGCCATTTACTCTGGGAGGATTCCCATGGCCAGTGCAGGAGGCAACCAGCCTGTAGTCTTTCGTGTCCCACACTGGGTAGTGTGATCGACTTCTTCTCAGGTTGCCAATTTCATAAATTTTATAGGATTGTTGACATTCCAGGTGCCAGAGGGGTGGAGAGGGAGGTCTTGGGGGGGGGAAGCATTGTCCTCCCTCCTCGGTTGCCAACGTTCTTGTCCAAGGGCAGCCAGCGGCCAGCTGCATCCTCCAAGGTACATCCCCATGCAGCCTGGCTAACATGTTTCTGCTCCAGATGGGCTAGCTAGGCCCTTAGAAACCCATGGGAGAGGGAGGTAGCTGAGGTAGCCATCAAGCCCCCTTTGAAGGAGATAATTTCATCCAAACGAGAATAGGGAGAAGAAAGTAAAAATATATTTCAGTGCCTAGTTAGAATTCCTCTCTCCAATTACTTGTTTTCTTGCTTCTTTTAGTGATTCTCCAACTGAAGTATGTGCCTAAATCTCCTAAGAGCAAATAAGTAACTCTGTCTACAAATGTTTTCATGGGAAGTCAGAAACTAAATGTTTATTTCTGTTATTTGGGGTGATTGTTTTCTTTTCCATTTTTTTTCCTTTTGGTCTTTTTTCTATCTATTTTAACAATGATAAATAAAATGGAGATTTTGCTATTAAGCTCAAGTATTCATAATCCTTTTAAAAATATGATTAAAAAACTCATTGTATTCTTTCTGAGGTATGGTATTAATTATTATAATGATCATTTCCCAGAATTCCTCAGCCAGCATGCTGCTTGTTGAAGTCCACACACACTGGCTGGGGAATTCTGGGAGTTGAAGTCCACAACTTCAAGTTTCCAAGGTTGAAAAACACTGTCGTAGTCAGGCACAACTCTGCCTTTATTCAATTGAAATTAAGTTTTTGACTCTCTCTGCTGTGAAGAAGGGAAGAAGGTAGGTCTTCTTGCGTTTGGGTTAAAAGTGGAAAAAAATGGGACCAGATGCCTTTGCCAAGGATGGGAGGGTGTGTGTAGAAGGATGAACTTCCAGAAAGTTCAGGTCCAATGACAAGGGCATAATTTATTTTCGCTTGGTCTCACTGCAGGTTATATAACTTTGGCACATTGGCAATTGCAGCAGGTGGGGAAAAGGTTTGCTGGCTGGCATGTAGGCTTTGTAGGCATAAACAAAGGATGTCAGAGCAAGGAGACAGAACAATGGTGGTTTCTTCTAGGCTTGGCAGGAAGTGTTCCTGGAACGAAAGGCAATTGGAGGGGATGTGGGCCAGAGGAGCAGCAGCTGGAGAGGCCAGGGCCCAGACCATCCATGCTCAGAGGCAACGTAGAAAGCAAATACTCACCTGAGAGACTGAAGGAAAATTTCAATTTGGTTTAATTTCCTACAGCTGCATGGCTGCTCATTGTCCTCTAAGCATGACAAAACCGCCCTGCCCCCACCTCTGCCCTGCCCCACCCCACCCCCCCGCCTGGCCACTTACTGACTCCATGGCCCACCACAGATCACCCAGGTGGCCCAGCAGCACTATGGCAGCCATGCCCTCTGCTCACGACCCACAGCATCAACTGCATGCGACAGGGCATGAGGGCAAAATCTTGTCCCCGTTGCCCAGCTGCCATGTCCTTGTCTGCGCTGCTCCATGTGAGCTGTGACTCTTCTCCAAGGGGGCTGCTGGTGAGGACGGGACCACAGGGGGAGGCGGGGCTGGGGCGATGGCACCCGTGCCCACAGAGAGCACTCTGAGTGCCACCTCTGGCACGTGTGCCATAGGTTCACCACCACTGGTATAGATTTACATTTCTAAATTTAGATATTGTTAATCTTAACAGTAATGGCATAACTATACAGGCATTTTTGGAAAGCTTCCACTCCAGCCTTGTGGGAGCAAAAGACTCACATCCCACCTAAAAGTGACACTTGGTTTACCTGTTCTACTAGGAAGCTCTAACTGGCTCTCCCATTTGGAATTGCCTGAGGGAGACTTAAAGGTCATTGACACCAACCCAAAGGCACGTGAACCAGGAGGTTAAACACGTGCTATTTTAACATTCTCTACGTATTTCCGGCCTGGAGGCTGGTGAAGCAGGGGGACCTGGTGTGAATGAGCCAGTTTCCAGACAGGATCAAGGAAAGGCTTGATGACAGTGTGAAAGGCACCCAAATGTTTGGGCAAAGCTTGTTGAGTGACCAGAGTCTCAGGGAAAGACCCAAGGCAGCCCACCCCCTTGAAGGAAAGAGTCAAGCATTTCAGTCAAAAGAAACGGGGAAGAAAATAATATGACTCAGCGCCTACTTAAAACTATCCATTTTCTTGCTTGTTTTAACAATTCCCAGATTGAAGTATATGCTTGATCACCTTAAGCAAAAATAAGTACTGCTGACTGCAGAGGTTTCCATGGGAAATCAGAAATTAAATATCTATTGTCTGTCTGTCTGTCTGTCTGTCTGTCTGTCTGTCTGTCTGTCTGTCTGTCTGTCTGTCTGTCTGTCTGTCTGTCTATCTATCTATCTATCTATCTATCTATCTATCTATCTATCTATCTATCTATCTACCTACTTTTCGAGCTGCCCATTCCTTTGCAAAGGGTCTTTGGTGGTATACAGGTTCAATATCAAGCCATAAAAACAGCATATAAAATTTAAAAGGCGAGGATGGATTAAAAGCAGTGTGCAAGTTATTTAAAAGGTGGTTGGAGGGGTTTAAGGTCATCACCAACCAACCCAACAGCTACATGCTCCTCTGTGTGGCCCACGTTTGTTTTTATACCTTTTCAGAGGGCCATGAAAGTGGGGAACTAGATCATTTCTGAGGCAGAGGTCCTTGCCACATTCCTGGCGCCAACAGGAAACAAGACGTTGAGTTCACAGGTAGATTGGTTTATTAGGGTATACTCTGGCATGGGAGCTCTAAGCTATAGCAAACAAAGTCAGCGCTAGGAGCAACTGCCTCCCAGTGCTCTAAATAGACGCCTCCCGCCTGGGCCCACCCCCACCCACCTAACCAGCATCTGGAACAATGAGCATGCATAGTCAGTTCACAACAGCAGCCTTCTGATCCTGGCAAACATCCCGGCATGAGCACCGGCATGACAGCAAGGTAAGGTAAGCGAGGGCAGGTTTCAAACTCCCCGATGTTTCTCTGCACCGAGCAGCTGTTTGGCGAAGCAGGGAACAGCTGTGCCAGCAAACCTGGAAGTTCGGCCGGCCACCATTATCATTCAGGATGGCCTTGTAGCTGCACTCCACAGGACCCCTGGCCATCACACAGGTACAAGGGAGAGAAAAGGCTGTTGCTGCCATCCATCCTGCTGGACCCAGCCATGCCTCCAATGCTGCCATCCGATGTGTCCTTGCCCCCTCCCCCCTCCCATTAGTGGCAAGCCCACAGGGGCTTGACAGGTGCCCCCCCCCACCAGGGCTCCATCTGGAAAGGCAAGGAGAGATGTGTGATTAGTTATTGCTTATGGCAGTTTACTCAATCAGCTTCTCCCCCAGTTTATGGGGATTCTCCCCACCCACATACATCCATGACAGGGCACCCCTTCCACCGTACCAGGTACTGCAAGCAACCCCAGTGGACTCGAGAATCTAACACCTCATCAATCTCATATTGGTCCTCTGAGACGGGACCTGTTGACTGCATGACGGGACGAAAAGAGGACCCTTCCACCGGCTTCAGTAAACTACTATGGAACACTGGGTGCACCCTCCCCAAGAGACAGGGAAGCTTCATCATGTGTAGGGTTTTGAGGAACACCAAGTTACCAGTCTGTTTGACATCGTGGTGAGGTAGATGGAAAATTGCTATTAAGAGAAATGATAAAGTACTTTTGCATTATATTTTAATTAACAGAGTTGATGTTTTGAAAGCATTAACTAATACTATAAACTGGCTGAGTGTGATGACCTGTGTGCAATTCTATGAAGAAACATTTTTACAAGAAGTGTCAACTGAAAGTCACAAATGGTGTAAGATATTACACATGTAGGGGAGTGTGGTTTTCTGCACATTGGATAAACTTCCCTTTTTCCTATGTGTGTTGTCTCAAGATATGAACTTCTCTCTTTTAGTGTGTTAAAGGTAGATAAGAAGTCATCTATTAGGTTAAGCATGGGCGGCAAGCTGTATAAAAATGACACCCTGGGAGTAACTCAGGGTTCAGAATCTGTCATGTGAATGCTCTGAACCATTGTGCACAAATAAAGCCTGTCTTCTCCAACCCTTCGTGGTCTTGTCTTCTGATGTAAGTATTGTGGTTTTTCCACAACAGTGGCACTTCCATAGTGTTAAGTCCTTCGCGAAATGGCAATGATACGAGAAGCAGTTGTAGTTCTCAGGAACTCTTTATTTCTGTTCAGCATACTGGTTACAAGACGCCGACAACGCCCAAATCTCCCTGCCTCTTTTATAGGCGATTCCCGGGCCAAATTGCAACATTTGGCGCACTAGCACCTGCGCATGCGCGCGAGTGCTGGCGACAACCAGTCTGGTCCCGGGCAGCTTGCACCTGCCCAGGACCGTTGCAATGCCCCGAGCCTGCTTCCATAGGCTCAGGACATAACACCCCTCCCCCCCGGCTAAGACTATGATCAAACAATAATAATATATAACCTAATACGAGCGTGGTGCCCATACTACTTTGTACTAGTTATCCCCTCTGCTTCTATTGTTCCCAGTGTTCTGTTTTCCTATGTGTAGAGGAATGCTCTCTGTTAACTCTGTTTTGCCAGTAGAGTTACAAAATCTTCTAAATACTTAGGGGATCTTCTGGCTCTCTGTGACCTCCTGACTTCTGGGTACCTGCCAAGTACCCCTTGACTGAGGGGTGATGTATGCTTGTCCCCCTTGCTACACCCTGGTGATTCCCAAGGACTGTGCTCCAATGCCTGGCCTGCTTGCTTGCCCACCGGGCTCGTCAGGCCAGGGCTTCTTTCTCTGTTTGACCTGGTTGTCCTGCCTGGCTGCAGGCTCTCTGGCCCTCTTAAGTGACTGTCACTGTTGGGCAATTCTGTAGAACCTCCCAGGTCTGTCCTAGACCTGTCAAGAGGTTGTCTTTCCCCTTGTTCCCGTTCTGTACCCGGGCTTGTTGGGGTTTCAGTGCTGTCCCAAAACTCAGTTGTCCCCTGAGTGATGTCAGAGGTGTTGTAGTCGGGATTTGGTTCCTTGACCACCTCCCTGTTTGCTTGCCCCCTTCTAGGGACAGGGGTAGTGTCGGGCCAACTAGACGGAATGTGTGCCAGCTCTCTTGCAGGGTGTGGGTTGTTTGGACGCTCCCGGATATCCTCCCTGACTGGAGTACTGAGTGATGCGGGTGAGTAGTGATTAAGCCCCCGGGGTGACTCCCTGGCTGGAGTAGGCACTGTTGCCTGAGTTCTAGTTGGGCTCCATGGATTCCTGTTTGGAGCACTCATGGAATCTCGGAATGAGCTGTCTGTAGCTCCCTCGTTACTGATATGCGGCAGCCCGCACTCTTCCCTTTGCCCAAAGGGGTCCCCCTCCCCCCCTGGAAAAGACCCAGGAGTCTCAGTGGGAAGGTCCCGTCTAGTGTGGAGCTGATCGATGTGTTGTTGCAGAACACGACCGTTGTCCAGGGACACCTCGTAGGACAAAGGACCTGTGACCCTGGATATAGTGGCAGGGACCCATGAATGACCAGGCCCGTAGTTACGAGTCCAAACCGGGGCACCCACAAGCAGTTGTCTAGGTGCCCTGGGGTGTGTGATTGTGGAAGGTAGTCTGTCCGGGTGCAACCGGTCAAGCTTGGTAGTCAGTTTGCGCCCCCAACGAAGTTCAGCTGGGCTCCTCCTGGTAGAAGTGGAAGGTGTAGTGCGATAAGAAAGGAGGAAGTCAGCCAACCTGTGATGCCAGTCTCTATAGGTAATTTTCTTCAAGGCGTCCTTGGTGATGCGAACCATGCGTTCAGCCATACCATTGGTGGACAGGTGGAAAGGTGCAAAGGTGGCATGACGAATCATGTTGGCCTGTAAGAAAGCTTGGAATTCGGAAGAAATGAATTGAGGCCATTGTCAGATACGAGGACATCTGGAAGCCCGTGTGCAGCAAAAATCCCCCTCAGTACTTGAATAGTCTTTGCAGTGGTGGTGGAAGAGACAGGTACAACCTCAAGCCATTTTGAATGGCTATCAACTAGGACCAAGAAGAATTGACCCTGAAAGGGCCCAGCGTAGTCAATGTGCACCCTAGACCATGGAGACTGTGTTTCCTCCCATCTATGTACAGGAGCTTGGGGCATTTCAGGGCGCGAGCGTTGACAAAGGTGGCATGCATGCACCTTAGCTTCAATGTCTCTGTCTAACCCAGGCCACCACAAATGGCTGCGCGCAAGCGCCTTCATACGTACAATGCCAGGATGACCCTCGTGGAGGGAACCTAAGACCCTAGTCCTCATTGAGGCAGGAATGACAACTCTGCTCCCCCAAAGCAGACAACCCTGGAAGGTGGATAACTCGTTCCTTTTGAAACTCTGAAACTCACAGCTCTCTGGCCATCCAGATAAAACCCAAGAAAGGACACGCGAAAGTGTGAGATCTGTGGCTGATTCAGCAGCCACATCCCTGGCATCTAAAGGGGGCTCAGGCAAGGCCTGAATGGAGAGGATATTGATTGTTGATGCAGGGTCAGCTTCTATTACCGGCAGGGGTAATCTACTGAGGCCGTCAGCATGGCCCATTTCTTTCCCAGGTTTGTGAAGTAAGGAAAAATCATAGGCAGACAGAAAGATAGACCATCTCAGCATTCTGGGGGAGATGATTTGGGGAGTTTGTTTGTGTGTGGTAAACAGCCCCAACAAAGGCTTATGGTCAGTGAAGACCGTGAAATGCCTGCCATATAGGAAATCATGGAATTTTTTGATTCCAGCAACAACAGCTAAAGCCTCCCTGTCAATCTGAGCATAATTTCGCTCTGCAGAAGACAAGGTTCTGGAGTAATATGCAACAGGAACCTGAGTTCCGTCTGATCTGAGGTGGCTTAGTACGGCTCCCACCCCATAAGGAGAAGCATCACAAGTGATGCACACAGGAAGGGATTCATTGAAATGTGCAAGCACACTGTTAGAAGTGAGTAAGGCCTTAACCTCATTGAAACTTGCTTCGTGTTTTTGTGACCACTGCCACACTGCCTGTTTGTCCAAGAGCCTATGAAGAGGCTTGGCTACACTAGCCTTGTTTGGAAGGAAGGAGTTGTAGAAGTTCAGAAGGCCCAGAAAGGCCTGTAGTTTGGCCTTGGACTTTGGCCTAGGAGCATGCATAATAGCTTTCAATTTGGATTCAGCAGGGTGAATCCCAGTAGCATCAATTTTGAATCCCAGAAAATCTGTAGAAGGCACCCCAATTTTACATTTGTCCTTCTTAAGTTTGAGGCCCGTTTTCCTGAACCTCAGCAGGACAGCCCTTAATCTCTCAGCTAAGTTGTTTGTAGAGTCTCCTGCAATTAAGACATCGTCAAAATAGGGGCAAACCCCTGGTATACCCCGTAGTGTGTTTTCCATTACGCTTTGGAAAATTCCAGGAGCGACATTTACTCCAAATTGTAACCTCTTTACCTTGAATGCCCCCCTGTGGGTCACAATGGTTTGAGCTACCGCAGCAGCATCATCAACAGGCAGCTGTTGATACGCTTGAGCTAGGTCAAGCTTTGCAAAAACGCCCCTCCCCCCTTGAGGGAGGCCAGGATATGACTGACCACAGGAACAGGATAGGCATGTTGCTGCAATGCCTTATTCAGAGTGCATTTGTAATCTGCACAGATGCGAATGTCCCCATTTGCCTTAAGAGGCGTGACAATGGGGGTCTCCCAAGGACTGGAGTCGACAGGTTCTAAAACTCCTTGCTGAATCAATTTGTCCAACTCGGTGTCAATTTTACCCTTCAAAGCAAAAGGGACCCTTCTTGCTTTAATCCTAATAGGGTTGACAGTGGGGTCTAACTTCAGTGACACAGGGGGTCCTTTGTACGTGCCCAGCTGGGGGCTGAAAACATCTGCAAATTCTTTGCAGACTTCTTGTAGGTCAATTGTTTGCAAGCTATTGAGCCCTGTGACGTGTATTCCCAAGGCCTCAAACCAATCGAGTTCTATGAGACTCGTTCGTTCACCCCCTACTACTATTACATCTAGTGGACCTTCAAAATCCTTATACTGTACGTTAAGGGTGGCCTCCCCCTTAACACACACTCTGGAGTTTTGAAAGTCTGTTAACACAATGTCAGAAGGCCTCAGCTTGGCCTGAAATCCGCTGCCAGAACAAATCTTCCTAAACGTGCGCATGGAAATGATTGAAAGTGCAGACCCCGTATCCAGTTTCACAGCCAATGGAACCCCTTGTAGCTTCACTTTAAGTGACAGCTTTTTCTTGATGGGCTTGTGTGTGCCTGTCCTATAAATGCTTCTTCGCGAAGCGCAGAAACCCACCCTGTTTTGGCTGGGGACCCTGGTACCTTTCAGGCGCAATTCTTCCCGAGGTTGTACCTTCTGACGGCCCAGACACACAGCTGCAATGTGTCCCTGTTTTCCGCATGCCTTACAGATAGCGGAGCAGAATCTACAGTCGGTCCTCTTGTGGCGACCTCCACAACCGAGGCACTTGGGGAGAGCTGAAGAGCTTTCTTTCTGTTTCCCTTCTTTCGTGGAGTAGAGACGGTCTACTTCATCGTCAGGATCCTCCTCTGGGTTCCTTTGGACTCCTTCCTGGTGCACGGACACAGCTTCTGGAGTGCTTCTGATCGGCCTTATGTTCTTGATGGCGCCGCCCGCTACCTCTTCTGCAGTAATCTCTCTCAAGGCATCTTGGAATGATAAGTCTTCTTTAGCAAAAAGTCTCTGCTGTAATTCTCTATGCCTTAGTCCGCATACAAATCTGTCTCTCAGCCGTTCTTCTAGATCCTTGAACTCGCAGTGTTTTAGCGGCTTTTCTCAGCGCAGCAATGTATTCTTTGGCTGATTCTCCGGGTCGCTGATCCCTCTGTTCGAAGGTGTGGCGCCAAGCGATGACGGACAACTTGGGCTGGAAGTGTTCCTTTAGTAGTTTTTTGAGATCTGTGTAGTTAACAGTTTCTAGAGGTGCAGGTGCTGCTATGTTTTCAGCGATTTCGAATGTGTCTTGACTGCAAACGCACAGCAGGGTGGCAGCTTTTAAGCTATCTTCTCTTACTTGATTGACTTTAAGATAGTTTTCCACCCTGGCTACGTAGGACTCCCATCTTTCCGGATGCGAGACATCGAATTCTGAAAGTCTTCCAACTTTTGCCATTTTTGTAGAAAAAGGAAGGGTCTATCAGCCAGTCTACCCCCGATGCTCGCTAGATTGGCGGGTAGCTGCCGAGTCAACGCCGTTCCTACTGCTCAGGACTCTCGGGTAAGCTTACACCTGTCTTCAGTCGATGTAAGGCAATCCCACCTTTGTCGCCAGTGTTAAGTCCTTTGTGAAATGGCAATGACACGAGAAGCAGTTGTAGTTCTCAGGAACTCTTTATTTCTGTTCAGCATACTGGTTACAAGACGCCAACAACGCCCAAATCTCCCTGCCTCTTTTATAGGTGATTCCCGAGCCAAATTGCAACATTTGGCACGCTAGCACCCGTGCATGCGCGTGAGTGCTGGCGACAACCAGTCTGGTCCCGGGCAGCTTGCACCTGCCCAGGACCATTGCAATGCCCCGAGCCTGCTTCCACAGGCTCAGGACATAACACATAGCACCTTCGGTCTTAATGCATGCAGGACGTAGAGTCTGTTACCCTTCCATGCCAACCCCTACCTCTGAGTCAGGAGGGCCCGATGCTCCATAAGCCAGGGGTCACTCTGGCCCGCTCTTTGCAGCTCCTGGACCAAATTGTCTGCCAGTTTGCGTGAGGCCACCTGAGCAGCCAATTGTGTGAAGGGAGGCATAGTGGCCTGTACTACCTCCTCCCATTGGCTGTTGTACTGGGGCATGCATGACAGAGCGTCCGCCATGAAGTTCTTACTCCCGGCACATATTTCAGGTGAAAGTGGAACCGTTGAAAATACTGTGCCCATCGAACTTGCTTCGGAGATAGGCGCCACGGTGTCTGCAAGGCTTCCCCCATTCTGTTTGTTTGTAGAGATCCAGTTGGAATCGCAAATGGGACTCCCATGGCCCAGAATGCTGCATGCATCATAAATATATGCCCATTTCCCCTGGACCGCATCCGGAGCGAGAAGATAGGAAGAAGGGGAGAAGCAAGTAGGAAGGTTGAGGAGAAGGAGGAGAGGGGGAGAGTGAGGAAGAAGAGGGAAAGAGGGAAGTAGGTTAGAGGGTGAATGCGGCTTGGGGGAATGGGTGAGCAATACCGAAAGTTGTGTGTATCAATTTATTTTATTTTTTATCTGAAGTATTTTTATGAATGTAATGCATTGCAAAATTGAAAATAATTTTTTTTTACAAACAAATAAATAAATATATGCCCATTGTCAGGTGCCGGAATTTGGGTCACATGACTGTGAGGATGTTGTGATGGTTGTAAGTATGAGGACCGGTCATAAGTCACTTTTTTCAGTTAAGTTGAAACTTGCAAAAGTACTAGATGAATGATCATTAGTCGAGGACTATGTGTATTTGCAAAAAACGAAACGGAAGGCAGCCCAATGCCATTTCCTTTTTCTTGTAAAGCAGCTGATTTTACCACTGGTGCCTGTAAGAAACCTGGACTTTGATTAGGCAGGAGCATATGTGACAGGAAACGGCAGGAACGTTTTATTGTTTTATTATTTCTAAGAAAAACTGCACATGCTGCACTTAAGGGTATATAAGGGCGATTCACTCCTTCTGTTCGAGCAGTTCAGATTCTTTGGGCAGATTCTTCAGCCTGCGTGGAGATCCTTGACAGCTACTCCTTTTAGAAGAGCAAGTAAGCATTTGTGTACACCCTTCCCCTCTCTAGGTTTAGCTATAGTAGAGTCTGTAAGTCCTTAATTTCAAATTCTGTTCTCTTTATAGTTACTCTTGATCTTTCTACCATTTTACTTTTTACTAAAGAATGTGTGCATTTTGCCTAGGAATCTGTGGATGGCTGAAGATGCTTCAGGTTAAGGAAATGGATGCACCCTTTGCCCCTCATTTCTGGACCCAAAGTTTTTTTGCGGGTGGCTCTGGGGAATCAGCTGGAGAAGCAGCAGCCTTTTCCCCTCTGCATTTAATGATGTCTTCTTTGGATTTAAAGTAGTGGGGGTTTTTTTTTGTCTGCGTTCAGTGTTAAGAATAACTGGATTGTTTTATGTTTGGATTAGGCAGTGATTTTATCGATAAGAAAGGAAGAGAACAGAAAATGCAGCAAAGGAAAGAAGACAAGTCCAGGGCTTTAGAGTGGTGTCAAGAGGAGGGGATGAAAAATTTGGCTGGGTGGGGGGAGAACATCTGGAAAGCTTCTCCCTCTTATTATTGGCTTCTCATTGCCTTTGACTTTGGCCAAGATATATTGGGGTTACAATTATTAAAGGCATTAGTTGCAATGGCATGTGGGAATGGCCTTGGGAGACAAGGCGTTGAACACAACCAAAGAAACATAGATAAAAGGCAGGTTAGCCCGTAATGGGAATGTACATGGAGCAAGAGGCTCAAGACAAAAAATACCTCCCCCAATTTTTGGGGGCAAAAGGGAGACTGGGAAGTGAAGTAGCTTCAAATCTGCAAGGTTCATGTCTGTTTTAGAAGTTAGATCTCTAAGGTCCCTTCCAACTCTGTTATTGTGTAATTCTTAATTCCACTAGAGAACTAGAGAGATGATCTTGGAAAACTACACAATGGCAGTTCAGGAAATGATTTAAGTCAAGGAGATGAACACAACATTGGAAAGAAACTTTGATTCCACACGAACAAGCGTTGGGAGCAAGAGGGAAGGTGGGGTTTAATCACTATCAGGCTTCCAAGATTCGGTAACTAGAGCTTTGCATGCATGAAGGATAAGAATAAAGAGAGTTCTTTTTTTTTTTTTTTCAAAAGGCACCTTCCCTCACTGGTTATTGTTTATTTTTCTAATAGATGATGTGCCATTAAGTAATTTTCATCTCCTAGTGAGCACCTAAATAGATTTTCTTTATGACAATTGTTACGTTCGTCGTTCGCGTGCGAATGATGAAGACACATGGCGATGCTGAACAAACGCTTTATTCTCCTTTTACAACACCAAAGCAACAGCAAAAGGCATGCAGGCCTTTTTATAGGGCTTGAAACCCGGACAGAGTCAACCAATAGGAACAGAGCATTTTTGCGCCTTGCGCATGTGCACAAGGCTGGCGCCACTCTGTCTGGTCTCGGGCAGCTTTTGGAATGCCCGGGACCAATGCAATGTCCCAAGCCTGCTTTTGCAGGCTCAGGACACAACAACAATCTATCCCTAATGTGATCTTTCAAGACCCCCTAATTGTGGGGTCCGTTCCATTGTAATTAAGTTCAGTTCCCTTTCTGCTTATCATCCTTTTCTTCCCTTCCCTTCCACTTTTCCCACCATCAGACCAAGGGAACTGGGTCTTCATATAATGTGTCCAAAGTAGAATAATTTGTGTCTGGATATTTGAGCCTCAGTGACAACTCTTTGTTGATTCTGTTCTAAATATAAACTAATTGAAGCATTTGAGGAAAAAGCTAAGCATCTGGAAGAAAAAACAAAGAGTCTGGAGACAAGCCTAGCCACTCTGAAAATAGAATGACAAAATGAAGAACTAAAAAAAAAAAAGACTGCAACCAAACTGGAGACAATAAGGATCAACTACTAACAAAGAAAACAAACCTTTAGAGATAGACCAATGGCATCATGTCACTCGTAAGAAGGAAAAAAATCCAAACCAGTCTCATCCAGACCCTCTGGAGCCAAATGATTGAATTTATAATTTCCCCTTGGAAGAAAGCTCACACACACCTAGAGAAGGGACATCAAGTGTACCAAAGAAAGGGAAAAGAATAGACCAGACTTACTCAAAAAAAAAGTGTTTGTGTGTTGGTGATAGCAGACCCGCTGCTCAGAGGAACTGAACCAGCAATGTGTAGACCAGACACTCTAGCTAGGGAGGTTTGCTGTCTCTTAGGAGCAAAAATCAAAGATGTGATTGAGTGGCTTACCAAAACAATTAATTCAACAGATTATAACCTCTTTCTCCTCTTGCATGTGGGAATAAATGATACAACAAGAACATGAAAACAATATCAAGAGGCTATGACAGTTAGGCATGAAAGCCAAAGACAGGGGTAGGTAACCTTGGCTTTTTTATGACTCGTGGACTTCAACTCCCAGAATTCCTGAGCCAGGACTGGAAAAGGGCTGATGTGATTCCCATCTTCAAAAAAAGGGGAAAAAATGGATCCAGGAAACTGCCGTCCAATCAGCTTGACATTAATACCAGAGAAGATCTGGGAAAGGATAATCAAGCAATGGATCTGCAGACACTTAGCAACAAGCAAAGCTATTACTAAAAGCCAACATGGGTTTGTCAAAAAAAAAGATCAGGCCAGACAAATCTTATTCCATTCTTTGACAAAATGACTAAACTAGTGATCAGTGAAATGCTGTGGATATAGTGCATTTGGACTTCAGTAAGGCATTTGAGACAGTAGACCACAACCTACTTCTTGGTAAGATATGGGGAAATGTGGGATAGACAGTATCACCACCACATGGATTTGTAATTGGCTGACCAACTGCACTCAACATGTAGTCCTCAATGAAATGATATTTACATGGAGGGAATCATGCAGTGGGGTACTCAAAGGTTCTGTCTTAGGCCCAGTACTCTTCAACATCTTCATAAATTATTTAGATGAGGAGATAGAAAGGGAACTCATCAAATTTGCAGATAACACCAAGTTGGGGAGACTAGCCAACAGTTTAGAAGATAGGCTGAAGATCCAGAAGGATTTTGACAGACTTCATCACTGGACCCTATCCAGCAAAATGCAATTCAATGGTGAGAAAAGAATGGTTTTAGACTTAGGCAAGAAATACGAAATATTTACTAGTGATTGAAGGGTGGTTAGATGCAGGGAAGGGAGAGAAGTCCTTAACCCTCTTTTTCTCAGTCTAAGAAGGATGCCTGCCTGCTTCTCCCTCCTCCTCCTGCACTTTCCTTTTCTTTCTCTCCTTCCTCTTGTCCAGTTGTTCCTCTGATCAAAATATCTTTCCATGTTCGTAAACATAGGAGGAGGAGTATTCCTAGAAAGCTGTCTGATATTCAGAAACTCAGCTTTGGTGTAGGTAACCCTCAGTGAGTCGCAGAAAATAATAATAAAAAACATCAAAATTATTAGAGAGCCTTTCACCAAGGCTGTCATCAACAGTGCCATATTGAGGAATTTTGGTGGGAAGCATGGGGTAGGTAAGCATATAGTAAGTAACTTAGGCCAGAAAAAACAAATGCACAGGTATATAGTAGAGTAGATGGTACCGGGCTCAACAGCAGTAACTGTGAGAGAGATCCTGGAGTCCTAATAGACAAGCACTTAAATATGAGCCAGGAGTGTGGTTCATATGCCTCAAAAGCAGATTCAGTCCTTAGGTTGCATTGGCAGATCAAGTGATGTGTTACTATAGTTTTATACTGTTTTGGTAAGACCCCACTTGAAATACTGCATCCAGTTTTGGTCACCACGATACAAAAAGGATGTTGAGATTGTAGAAAGAGTGCAGAGAAGACCAACAAAGATGATTAAGTGACTGGAGGTTAAAACATATAATGAACGGTTGCCAGAACTGGGTATGTCTAGCCCAATTAAAAAAAAACTAGGGGTGACAGGACAGCAGTTTTCCAATATTTGAGGGGTTGTCACACAGAAGAAGGGGGCTAAGCTTTTCTCCAAAACACGTGAAGGCAGGAACAAGAAATAAAAGATGGAAACTAATCAAGGAGAGTTCCAACCTAGAACTAAGTAGAAATTTCATGACAGTGAGAACAATTAATCAGTGGAACAGTTTGCCTCAAGAAATTGTAGATCTTCCATCACTGGAGCTTTCTAAGAAGACATTGGACAACCATTTGTCTGGAATGGTATAGGATCTCCTGCTTGTGCATGGGGCTGGACTAGAAGACCTCCATGTCCCTTCCAACTCTGTTATTTTTTCTTGACTGTCCACAACATTCTCAGGGGCCTTCTCCAATTATAAAGTTCGAAGTGCCAGACAGATGAGAAATATCCAAATGTCTCTTTTCTTTTCCAGATACACTGCAATATCCAAAGAGCAACTATGGGCAACAAAATTGCAAAGGATATCATAAGGAGAGATTTTGAAGACTTAAAGAGAGATTTGGATGAAGGCAATATTCCTAAAGTGAAAGCTGAATACCACAAAAGCTTAAATGAAATGCAAAATCTGCCCCTTAATATCGCAGTTACTGGACAGACAGATCTGGTAAATCCTCCTTTGTCAATGCCATCCGGGGTGTAAATGATGATGATGATACGGCAGCCAAGATTGTGCCAGTAGAAGGAACCATGGAGCCAAAGGCATATGCTCACCCCTGTTTTCCCAATATGAAATTATGGGACCTTCCAGGAATTGGAACACCTAAATTTCAGGCAATGGAATATCTGAAGAAGGTCCAATTTGAAAAATATGATGTCTTTATTATCGTTGTCTCCAATCGCTTCACTGAAAATGATGCTATGCTGGCAAAGGAAATACAAAGAATGGGAAGGAAGTTTTACTTTGTGTGTAGCAAAATAGATGCTAGTATACAAGGTGAAAAGAGGAAAAAAAATTTCAATATGGAGAAAACCCTGGAGACCATAAGGAATTACTGCAAAGATAATTTGAAAAACTTAGGTGAGCCTTCTGCAAGAGTATTCCTGATATCCAGCTGGGAGGTGCACATGTATGATTTCCCTCTCCTGCAAAAGACAATAGCCGCTGAACTTCCTGACCACAAGAAGAATATTTTAACACTATCTGTGTATATTTTCTCAGAAGATCAATTGATGAAGAAAAAAGAGCTAATGAAAGCCTATATAAAGAAGGTAGCATTGGTATCTTGTGCTTGTGGACTGGTGCCTGTCCCGGGATTGTCTATGGCTTGTGATATTGGAATTTTGGTAGATGCTCTGAAATTTTTCTGCATGGTGTTTGGCTTAGACGACTGATCCCTTCATTTTCTGGCAGCTCAGACGGGAAAAGAATTTGAAGAGCTGAAGTCAGCTATCAAGAAAACCCCGTTAGGCAGGGCGATCGATGCAGAATTGGTATTTTCTCTCTTGATGAGGTCATCTGCTTGGGTAGCTGTGTCGATTGTGGAAGTGGCTCTTGATTTTATACCTGTTCTTGGGTCTGTGTTTGGTGGAGCAAGTTCATATGTTGTCACATATCATTTTCTGAAGAGCTTTCTTGATGATGCTGTGGAAGACGCCCAAAATGTTCTAGCAAAATTTCTTAAATGATCAGAGTCCCGGGGAAAGATCCAAGACAGCTCCAATCTCCCCTTTGAAGGAGGCAGTCAAACGTTTCATCCAGATGAAAGTAGGGGAAAGAACATAAAAATATGCTTCAAATATTAGAACTACCTATTTGCGTGCTTCTTTTAATTATTCTCTGATTGAAATACATGCTTGATCACCCTAGGAGAAAATAAATAACTCTGGGTGCAGATTATTCCATAGGAAGGCAGAAATTCAATTATATATCTTTATGGTTTGGTGAGTGGATTTTCTTTTCTTGTTTTTTCCCTTTTCTTTTTTCCCTGTTCTATTTGTAACAATTATAAATAATAAAAGAGGGGATGCTATGGTAGTAAGTTGAAAAAAATTATAATTCTTTTTTAATGTTAAAACTAATTCGGTGTACTCTGCTTATCTTATTATTGTTATCCTGTGCATTGATTGTATAGCTTCAATAATTATCTGTCAATCTACAATATTCTTTTTGGAAATATATATCTTGTTGAAATAAAAAAAATAAACAAAGTTCTAATTCAGGGCTCAGCTAATTAAATTTAAGGGGGAACCACTAGAGGAACTGCTAGAAGCCATTGGACTAAACTACATTTTATCCACTCTAACATTTGTTAACTCATTTACAAACTGAGGAACAAATACTTGGTGGGACTGAGAAGAAAGCATCTGGATGTTCCTTGGCTAATTCAGTGTACTCTGCTTATCTTATTATTGTTATACTGTGCATTGATTGTATAGCTTCAATAATTATCTGTAAATCTACAATATTCTTTTTGGAAATATATATCTTCTTGAAATAAAAAAAGTGTCTAGATGTTCCTTGGCTGAGAACAGGAGAGGTGAAGACTATCTTAATGCAGGGGAAATAAGCTCAAACCACAAAGACGTTTCAGAAGGGGAATGACCAAATAGCCATTTCTCAAAGATGCTGTAATGGGAGCTACACGTTGGACTGGGGAGGGAAGGGAAATATTATTGAAGCAGGAGGAAAGGAGCTTAAACTGATTCCAACTTAAATGTTCTGGTCCAAGAGAGGAGGAGGGCAGGTCCCATCAGGCTTCCAAGATTCAGTAAGTAGACCAAGTAGAGTTCCCATCATTCTTGTGAAACCTATCTTCTGGCTTTGCCAGCTGGACATGGCCAGCCCAAAATTGGCCAGGTTCAATGAAGGGTAGAGAAGAAAGATGGGTGAGACTCCAACCTGGCATCCCTCAGCTCACCTCTGATCTCAGTGCAGGTTGAGGGGAATCCCCCAACCAAGCATGAGGTGGACTTGCACACATCTGGGGATTCAGAAGTGAGATGGCTACAGGCTGAGCTCCCAGGAGTCTACCTGGTTCTTCTGAGAGGTGTCCAGCCCAAACCTGCCTCCTGGATGTGAGAAGGTTGGGCAGTAGGGTGGATTCAGCCAGGACTGGAAGCTGATCTGGAAAGTGGCAAATCGATCAACTGACCCAGTTATAGGCAAGAGGTCTGTTGAGATGGGAGCTGCAACTTACAATGTGAGGATTCCCACTGCCAGTGAAGAAGGCAACCAGCCTGTAGTCTTTCCTGTCCAACACTTTGCAGTGCAATTGACCTCCTTCTCAAGTTGCTACTTTCACAACTTATATGGGACTGTTGATATTCCAGATGCCAGAGGGCTGGGGAGGGAAGGCTTGGGGGTGGGAAGCATTGTCCTCCCCCCTGGGTTGCCAAGGTTCCTGTTCAAATCAAGCAGGGAAAGGTGGCCAGGTATATCAACCCAGTTACATCCTATCCAGGTTGGCTGATATGTTTCCGTTCCAGATGTGCTAACCAGGCATTTGGAAACCTATGGGAGATGGAAGGAGCTGAGTGTTTGTCCCCTAATAGCTCTTGCCAGCAGACCACAATTTGGATCCATCTGTGCCATGATAGGCAGGTATTCAGAGGGAGGGTGTGCAGTGACAGCACAGTGAGACTTTAAAGACCCAGCTATTACTGAATAGCCAATCTCAGTGGAAGTAATTCTGGCCTTGTTGTGGAGTTGATTTCTTGGTCTGATTTACCTAGGGAGGCTCCAGGACATCCAAAGGACGAAGTCAGCAAGGACACTCCAACCTTGGAAGAATAATAAGATTTTTATTCATTTGATTTCTGCCACAGAAATTTAAAATGTGTTTGTTTGTTTTCAGACCACCCATTACTTCACAGAGGAACTCTGGATGGTGTACAGATAAAATATCAAAACATAGAAACAGTATATAAATTTTAAGGACAGGGATGAAAGTTCAGAGCAAATCAGTGAACAAGTTATTTAAAACATGGTACGAGATCTTTCATGGCACTAGCCAGCCCCACAGCTGCCTGATCCTTTAGGCGCCCTGATCAATGCCCCTGAGCCATCTTTTCACACCTTTCCAGAAGCCCAGGAGAGCGGGGGTCTGCCTCACCTCTGGAGGAGGGGAAAAACTCTTCCAAATGGTGGGAGCCATGGCAGAGAAGGGTCTCTTCTTGTACCCCACCAGTCAGAATTCTTTAGCTGACTCTCCATGGAGATTCCCAGTCATCCAGGTCATGGTTGTCCCAAAGGTGCTTTTCAAAAGGCAACTGGACTTTCTTTGTTTTTCCTTTAGCTTCTCATCCAAGAAGCTTCTTCAGTTCTGACTAAATGGCGGGGAATGGAAGGATTAATATTCTTTGCAGTCATCTGGTCATTAACAGTTTGAAGGTCAGTCAGCAGAGGGGAAAGGTTACTACATCACCTATCTTCTGTCTACATCACATTCCTTTCAGCAATTCCAAGAAGATTTCACACCCAACTACACTCTGATTCAGGTGAGTCTGAGAGTACAAATAAACCCCCAAGTGGCCACAAGGATTCTCAGAGAGCTAGTGAGACCTTCAGAGTGCTAACAACCAGATGACTGCAAAGAATAGAAATCCTTCCATTCCCACCATTCAGTTAGAACTGAAGAAGCTTCTTGCAGGAGAGATGAAACATCTTCAAGAAACAACAAGAAAGTCGAGTTGCTTTTGAAAAGGACATTTTGGGCAAACTTTAGCTGACTGGTCCAAAACATGCCTTATTAGGTGGGATGGGCTGATGGAATAAGATGAAGATGGTTCCGTAGGTAACCTAGCCCTATTCCATGTAGGGCTTTAAAGGTCCATAACCAACAACTTGAATAGCCTAGAAGCAATTTCACAAGGTTGCCACTGTGCCCTATCCAGACTGGCAATCTTCAAACAAAAGCCTGCAAGCCTAGGCTGAGTTTGAGGGAGTGGTCAAATGGGTCATCAGTCTTGAGTCCCTTCATGCCCACATGAGATCTACCTCCAGTCCACCTTGAATTCCATTGCATCTTATCTACCAGCAACTTGCTTTGACCATTAGTAATTTCAGATCCTTGTAGAGAACTTTAGCATACAATAAACCTATATATTCATCTAAAGTGCCTGGACTCCTGACTTCCTGAGCTTGGGAAAACCAATGATATGGAGATAGGGCACGAATATACTCTTCCATGATACATTTAGGTTTAACTTAATCACCTATAGACAAGAATGACCTCAGAAGATGAGGTGGTCTTACTAGTGACTATAGGGAATGTGCAGAGAGTCATGACACAACTGAAAAGCATCACAATCTCTCTCATGATCCAACCTTTAAGTGAGCTTTTTAATAATATATTACAGGGTTCAGAGATTCCCCCGTCATGGGGTAGAGCTTTTATATCTTTGATTCCAAAAGAAGATCAAGATCTTACCTTACCAAAGAATTATAGACCTATATCTCTTTTAAATGTAGATTACAAGATTTTTTCAAAAATTTTAGCTAACAGGCTTATGAGGGTTTTGCATTATGTAACACATACTGATCAAACGGGTTTTATAACTGGAAGGTATATGAAGAATAATGTTAGACAAATTATTAACTTATTAGAATATTTAGATAAAAACAATCAAGTTTCTGCAGGATTGATATTTTTAGATGCTGAAAAAGCTTTTGATCAGCTGAATTGGCAATTTATGATAAGATTAATTGAGAAAATGAACTTTGGAGAAAGAATTTTACAAGCTCTTGGTGTTATTTATCAAAAGCAAACGGCACAACTTATAGTTAATGGGGGTTTGTCAGAGGTGTTTATAATAGAGAAGGGGACCAGACAGGGTTGTCCATTGTCACCATTGCTGTTTGTCTTAACTTTGGAAATATTGTTGATTAAAATTCGAGAATCACAGCAAATAAAAGGAATAGAAGTTAATAAAAAAGAATACAAATTAAGGGCTTTTGCTGATGACTTGGTGGTTACCTTATCTCAACCTACTTATTCTGTAATAGAGTTATTACAATTGATATATCAGTATGGACAGGTTTCGGGTTTTAAAATTAATAACAATAAGACTAAAATATTGCCTAAGAATATGACCAATTTGGATAAGCAGATTTTGGTTAATTTGACAGATTTTGAGGTTGTTAACAAGGTAAAATATTTGGGGGTTATTTTATCTGTTTCTAATGCAAAACTGTATAAAAATAATTATGAAAGGCTGTGGGTCAATATACAAAGAGATTTGGAAAATTGGGAGAAGTTGCAGTTATCTCTTTTGGGAAGAATTGCGGCGATTAAAATGAATGTTTTGCCAAAGTTTCTTTTTTTATTTCAAATGATACCTATTTTAAAGAATGAGGTTAATTTAAATGAATGGCAGAAAGGTATTAACAAATTTATCTGGGCAGGGAAAAAACCAAGAGTAAAACTTACTCGTGAGAGAGGTGGACTCAAGGTACCGAATTTGAAATTGTATTATGATGCTGTGGTTTTAACATTAATAAGTGACTGGGTTAATTTAACAAATGTAGAAATACTCCTCTTGGAGGGTTGGGACTTACTTTTTGGATGGCATGCCTATCTAATTTTTAATAAAAAGGTTGATAGGGTTTTTAAATTTCATATTATAAGGATTTCTTTACTTCGGGTTTGGAGGAAATATTATAGAAGTGATTCTAAAATTCCACTATGGCCCATACCGGGGCATGCGATAGAAGGGATAAGGAGAGGAGTTAAGATGGATAGTGTTTCTTATGTACAATTACTTAGATGGGATGGTAAAAACTGGCAATTAAAATCTTTGGAAGATTTAATACAAGAAAATATTATTTATTCATGGTTTCATTATAGACAAATAGTGGAGAGGTGGAAGATAGATCGTAATGTGGGTTTGCTTAGAGAAGATGAGAATTTATTAAAACAAATAAAAGATCAAAAACAAACCCATATTAAGAGAATCTATGGGGTGCTAGTGGAATTGGACTCAGAAGCAGAATTAGTTAAAGAATGTATGGTCAAATGGGCACAAAATTTTGAAGAACCGGTTCTATTAGATACTTGGGAAATTATTTGGGTGAGGAATGTTAAATTTACACAAGCCCAAAATTTAAGGGAAAATTTTTATAAAATGTTTTACAGATGGCACCTTGATCCACAAAAAATGTTGGAGATGTGGATGTTTGGATGCTACTTATTATCATATTTGGTGGTCATGTAAAAATATAAAAGCTTTTTGGATTAAGATATGGTGGAATATCCAAAGAATTTTTAGAAGAAGGGTAAAATTTATCCCACAATTGTTTTTGTTAGGTATTGTTTCTGATTGTGATACTAAAGAGACTATATTGATGTTAAATTTAATTACAGCGGCAAGGTTGTTAGTAGGGCAATGTTGGAAGAAGGAATCTTTGCCTACCTTGCAAGAGTGGTTTTTTGAAGTTTCTTATTTGGCGGAAATGGCAAAGATTTCGGCTTTCCTGAAAGACCAATCGCAAGAGAAATATTTTTTGGTATGGAAAAAATGGATAGACTTTATACAATATAAGTTGGATATAAAAAAT